ACAATTACGCAACTTTTTTTACAAACTATGAAATTGTATCAATCAAACAGATTGTGTATTTGTGTAAAGAAGGTTAAAATATCGCAATTTCCTGATATAGATGATTTATTTTCTCCATCATCTCAGATAACTTTAGTTTGCAACGAGACATATTTAGTAATTTTCTCCTTTTTGTATCACTTGTTGATTAAGGTTTAGGGCTTGCTCTATAGTTTTTCTTATAGAATAAGATTTGACGAGGTTATCGTTGTAAACTTATTTTCTCCGAGTTTGGAGTCATGTAACTAATATTATATCTTTTAAAACAAAATTATCACATAAGATTTTCCTTTTTCTTGTATAATTTTTTATATACATCAAATGAATAATTTATATCGAGAATCCGACTAATCTTCTAGATCTAGGCAGTTGTCAAACTGTTTGATCACCATGATAAGTATAAAATATAACATTATTTCAACTAGCTAAACATGAACCGAACAATTCAGGTAAAAGTAGAATACAATCAGTCAATATATATTGGCATACACCTTAATCCGTTCCTACTCTTCCGTAACTACCATAAGATTTTGGTACAGCTTATTTTTGCAAATTTTGGCAATTTTTTGGCTTTTAGTAACGAAACCCTGAAACGAATTGTAATTTTCAACTCCCCTACAATCAACCCTGAAACGAATTGTAATTTGTGTACATTATAGAAATTCTTATATACACAAATAAAATAGTGAAATAATCTGTAACTCTGCATTAGTAACGTAACTAACATTTAATGGTGAAAGTGGAAACAGAATAATTTAGCCTGGCAAAAAATCTTAAAATGTTGACTATGCGTTTCGTCGGTTACATCAATTGGGGTTATCATTTGACCAATAAAAAAGAATTAATGAGAAATGTAAATAAATAGAATCTAAGTGACATAATGATAATACAAGGGGGTTGGTTCCTTTGTGCTCCGGGTTCAAACTCCATTTGGTACGGATAGTTATTTTTAAATTCGAAATATCCAAAGACTGCTTACCGAAAATATTATGAGTCAAACACGTGGAACTCCCACGATTTATAAAACTATATATATGAATAAATATATCACTATTTCGTAAATAGTAATATTATTATCTTTTTCTTTCGTTGGATCTGCTTCCAGATTATCTGTATCAAATAATTGGAGAAGAGAGAGAAAATATGTTCCCTAATTTGTTAAGA